GTCAAAACTTATCGTTTCAACATTGTCTTCTTCCTTGTAGCCATGCACTGCCCTAAATCCAAGCCATTTCAACACGGGTGTGTACTCAGTAGCAATAACTGTCAAATCGGATGCACACATTCCACTATAAGCGCCAAATCTCCGTTTTACCATCTCCTTCTGCAATGGCACATAAAAAAGAAACATCACAAACAGCGGAGAGTAAGTACTGTGGTGGTTTAAGAAGTGACTGACATGAATATTATACATAACCACATCAATCATCTACAAAGACTTAGTACTACCAACCATATCATTTATTTCATTAAGTTCGAAATATGACATAGAGCAGCACACAATGGAGAATGATGCAATTTAAATTCAAAACCAACCTTGTTACGCAATGATGATTGCTCAACCTGCCAGACCTTTGGCCGGCGAACAGCATGCCACCTGCGTACTTGCAACAATTGGAGATATTATCTGAAATTACATGAGTCGTTGCTCACACATTATGATTAATTCAAGCATATAGAGAATACCTGGAAGGCAATGGATGAAAATTTCCAAATAGCACACCCCGAGCAGCAACTGAGGCACCAGCTGATTGTAGAATATTCTCTGCCTCATACTGTCTACTTAGCATTCCACGGAAAGTAGCAAGAAGCAAGTCAGCATCACCTAGATATGAAGCAACTGCCCATGCATCATCTATGGCCTCCTCACTCAGAAAATCTAGAACTGCAAGAAAATTGTGCGGAAGAGTTAGAAATCAGCAGCAGTCTTATGACAGAAAACAGCAGCATCAATATGCTACCATTTTGCTCTCTGTCTCACATGTGTATGCGTGTGTGCATGCACTTTGCATCCATGCATGCGAGAGTAATTGTGATTACATTCAGGAAGTCACAATTTATAGGTAAAAAGGTCACCATTTTCATGTAGAAAGTCGGCAACAGGCCTAGCTTGTCCATGTGCTTGGCATAGAATCTTTTCTGGAGCATCCATTTTTAGTGGTAGTCTAGACAATCCTTCCCGCACATGAAATGCATCTCCGTCTACAAAACAAGAACATGAGCTCAGATGTGAACATCTCAAGTGAAATTAAATCCTCAGGTGGGTATCCACACTTGAACAATTGTATATATGTGTGTATGTATAATACATATATATATATATAAGGGATTAAGTTGTTCCCAACTTTCGAGTAATATATTCTTGAGAATTTAAATGGGGAAAAACATTTAACAATATGCATGCACCAAAAAACTGACTAAAATAAAAGGTCAAAGCTGCATACTACTTTCATCAGAACATACCCAATGCCATGACATTTTCCGTCTCTCTTTTGTTATGCAGAAACTTCCCAAGGGCATGGAATAGAGAAAGTGTATCATCTCTGCCAAACTGGAAGGAAAACCCGTCGTCCAAAGCATTTACCTCATACGGTTTCTCTTTAGCATATGTGGTAGCAGGACTTGATGAAGACAACAAATGCCTCGGATTTGGTTTCAGAAAGAAAAACTGCAGAGATGTAATTGCATGTCTAATGTCACCTCCACTTGCTTTTGCTATTAGACTGACTTGTTCAGTGGTCACATTACACTGCTCTTCTTTACATATTCTAGAAAGTACTTTCTTGATGGAATTATCTGTTATAGGATTGAAGGAGACCTGACAGTTTCCAAAATCATTACAAAAAGTAAGCATTCAATAATAACCTTAAAAATTAAAAAAAGAAAAAGAAATTGTCCAAGAAAGGTAACCTTACAAGCCCCAACATTTTCAAGAGACAACTGAAGTTCTTCTAAGTATCCAGTGGAGTGATCTGCTGAATCGGCTTTACCGTAGTCGGTGATCAATATAGCAGTTGGTATCCGAGTAGATCGCACAAGAAGATGCAAACAGTTTTGAAGTCTTCCAAAAGCAACTCTACCATTTGTCACCGGAAGGTCATCAATTAAGAGTATGATTGATGATTTTGAACCCTCATTAAGGGATGATGGGATCAATCCATACTTCCTTATTCTCTCCACAAAATTTTCAAATTCATCCAACTTTGACATGTAGCGTATTCCTAGTAGCAGATTGGTATATGCCAACAACAGCATAGTCTCCATTAGATCACTTCAAATTCAAATCCTTTATGGAGATTTTATGTATTGTAATTTTGAAGCTAGGTTTTTCCTCTTGCCTTACATTTCAATTTGTTTTCGTTTTATCTTTTATTTTTTGCAAAAATACTGATGGTAAAGTTAGAAATTACAAGATGTACATTTCAATTTGAGAATACTCAACTGCAAAGTCATGAAATTTAAACTCCACTCTATTTAACAAACCCTTGGCTGCATGATTAAGAATTACTCAAAGTACCTGCACTGGAGTTGTATAAATGTTCTTGCCAAACTACAGGAGTTGGTGTGTTCCATTCACACAATGTGGCTCCAAGGTGAGATGCAATCGCATGAATAGTTGCCTACAAGATGAGAAGAAGCAGAACTTTTAGTCAAATGTTTGATTCTATTAGCAG